CAAGATCTACTAAAGTTCTTTTTTCTATTATTCTATACAGCAAGCATACAAGGAGGTAGCCAAGGAGTTAATCTCTATGATCCTCTTTCCAACTCTCAAGGAGTATCGACAAATGCTGGAGAAATATTTGGTGGAAAATGCTGAAGGTTATATTGATAAAGTGGGTTGTAATATGTGAATATCCATGTTCACGGAGAAATACAATCATCAGGTTCATTGTAAATTATATAAATCTGTAAATTTTTCACTAATTATTTTTGTTTAATAATTTTAGATAAGAACAAAATACTGCAGTAAACGTAATGACTATGCTTCCACTGTCTGAAATGCTGTCTTTTCAACGTTTGATGAAGAAAAGTTAGTAAGGGTCGATAACAATACTTCTGCTGTTTGTTTCGCTGAATGAAAAAAAATGAAAAAACTCGAAATGCGTATTAAAATCTCTTTAACAACAATAAATTGCTCACAAATATCAGTTACTTGGTATTTAAATAATATAAGGGGAAAATGTTGCTGATGATACACTGCTTTAGTAATATGAATCATTTGATCTGTAATCAGTCTGATCCAGATATAATTGATGATTACAATTAATTGATTAGGAAGTAAATTAAACGATTAGTCGACTGATCCGGATATAATCAATGATTACGATTAATTGACTGATCTGAATATAATCAACGATTATGATTAATCGATTAGGAACAATAATCGGATCACTCAATTATATAATACATAATATCGATATCGATATGCACACAATAAATCAACATTTATCACTACGTATATCGATCGATATATCGCTATTACTGTATTTTGATCACTGTTGGACATTGTTTCAACCTAACGCTAATTTAATTTTTTTAACGTTAACGTTAATTTTGTGCCTAATACGCAATGATTTCAGATTTCTTTTACTGCTTTTATGAGTGAACGATGACTTCCTGGTGTTGTCATCATTTCTTTTTATTATTTTAAGGCTGTTTATGTTAAAATTTCACGTTCTAGTTTTTCTATTCAGCGAACACAACTTGATTTTGTCACAGTACAGTAAGTTACATTTTTGTTTGTGCATTCTATAGTTATTATTTTTCTAATTTGCTGTGTTTGACTGGTTATCAGTCATAATTTCTAGTCACTTTATGGTAATATCATTATGTACTTGTTGCGAATCTCTCCCATTCGCATTCATTTCTACGTTGCTGTCTGAGATTGTTAGTTTTATAGGTATCGCCATTAACGTTTCTTTACAATATAGGATTTTTTGGGCATTGATGCTGTTTCTAGTTTGTTGTTAGTAGTTTAGTGATATAATACTCATATAGGTCACCCTCAGGAAGCAATCAAACTTTGTAAAAGTAACAGGTAATGTATATTTTTAATGCATGCTTTCTATTTGTGAGGTGTGAGTGGATTGATTTGGGTATTTCACTAAGCTGAAATGAGTCTGATGGACCCCTGATGGAAAAAAAAGCTTTCTTATGGATTAACATTGTGATCAACTGGGATCGGTGATTATCATATTTTCTTTATGCTCTTAATTTTACTCAATTATAATATTAATTTATTTATAACGAATTTAGTGATGAATTCGTTAACAAGAACTATATTAGAAAAACTTGACAAACAAAAAAATACGCGTGCACTTATTACTGACAATCGATTGCGTTTAAAAGGTGTTCCAGACTCTACAATCTATACACTTGGTGATTGTGCAACTATTGAGAATGGAAAGTCATGACCAGCTTTATGCTCTAACTAACATTATTTCTTGACAAGTTTAAGTGGTATGAGAATGCTTCTGCACAATTTAATTCACACTAACTGAATGAGTATAAAAGAGAATGTTAGTATTATGTGTTGTGTTTAATGAGTGTTACTAAGCACTTTATATCAAGTAGATATTTTGCTGGTAAAGGAGTACACGTTAGCATAGGACTGATTACCAGAATATAATTGTAAACTTAAAAAGTGCGAGTGTTTATAATCAACTATCAGAGTAAGTTTCATTGTTTACCTATCTCTTTTCATATCTTTTCCATTTTTATATCTTATCCCTTCAAATTTTCAATTACGGAGTTGCATTTCAAGTAAAAATGATTAAATTTTGACAAGACATATTGATTAATAGAATACGGTTTAAGAAAAGGAGCAGAATGTATGTAATATTTTTTTTAGAAATGAGATACATATCGATATATATAACACTATAATCATTTTTAACTAATAATAAGGTTGATCTTTTATTCTATTATGATGTGTCGTAATGAATAATACTTTTGATGACACTCAGTGAGACCAAGAAAGTTACATAAGTAGCAATAGTAATACGGTTGCTACCATTACTGATGCTACCATCACTACTGATGCTACCACTACTACTGATACTTATGAGAGCTTTCGAAGCTCAAGAAAATGTCACCATTCCAGCAGTTCTGAAAAAAAAAGTTTTATTTGGAAATATTTTATCGAAAAAATAATCCTAGTGGATCTGGTAAAATCATGGTTTGTTCTCTTAATCTTGCGAATGGTAAATCATGTCAAAAAATATACACCACTTTCGGCAGTACTAGCAATGTTATCCAACATCTTGCAAGTATTTATGCTATCATTGAACAAGGAAAACTTCATATCAAGGTAAAGTTTTTTTTATTAGTTTCAAGTTTAATATAAAAAAATCTATTAATATATTGCTTTTAATAGTCTATAAAAAGTGGAAATATTAAAGATATGTTAGAAATGCAAAATCAACAACGTTGAACAGAAACTTGACAACTAGTGGCAAATCACAAACTTACAAAATGAATTCTTCATTTCACCAAACCTATTAATACTGTTGATGATACTACTTTTAAAGATTTTCTTAATTACTTAAATCTGAACTACAAATTACCAAACGAAAAAAATCTCAAACTTTTAATTCATCAAGCATATGATTGGACTGAAGGATCGATGAAAGAACTTCTTTTGTCTTCCGCTAATTACATTTCACTCACCACTGATTTATGGATGTCTCGTGCCAAACAAGAATATATTGGTATTACTGTATCATTTATAGATTCTGATTTTAAAATTTATGATATTTTGTTCGAGTTAGAATATTTATTATACCCACATACTGCTGAACATATTCAAGATAAGATTCAATTAATTATTGAAAAATGGAGCTTGCAGGAAAAAGTAATTGCTATTGTAACTGACAATAGATCAAATATGATTAAAGCTATATCATATTTAAATAATATTACGCGAATACCATGTACAGCACATACACTTCAGCTCACAATTAGAAAAAGATTACACCTGCCTTGGTTTTTATTTCTCGTACCAAACGCTTAAACCAGTTTTTTACATATCCCAAACAAATAGAAAGACTTCAAACAACCCAGACTTCCTTAAACTATCCAAAAATTTTAGGTGTAGTTTGTGATATAAGCACTTATTGAAATTTATCATATTTAGTATGGGATCGATTACTTTATTTAAAAGATGCAATTTATCAATTGGCAATTGATTTATCATGAGATCAGAATAGTACAATAAGAAAAGATGGATGTCATCTTAAAAAATTAATCTTACAGATGATGGATGGATCTTTATGAAACATTTGGTTAATTTACTTGGATTATTTGAAAAAGTCACCACTTTTTTAAGTGATAATATCTATGCGACACTTAGTCTAATGCATCCTATTATTTCTGAATTACAAAAAGTATTTGAAAATGAAACTTTATTAGTATTATTAGAAGCTGTAGATTTTGCTATAGATATGACCATATTAGATAATGAAGACGAACAAGAATTTGTTGAACAACAAGAAAATGACGAAGAAGAAGTTATCAATCCTATAACTCAAAATCATGTACAAATCAGTCAGCCAATGATCACAGAGGATGTAATCGAAAGAATTAAGAGTATTATTGTTCAAGCATTACATCAATATTGGAGAATTCCATTTGATATTGCTTTAAAAGCAGCATTTTTAGATTCACGATTCAAAGATTTAGCTTTTGCACAAGATGAAAAAAATCGAATTATTCAATTAATTCAAAATGAACTATATCAATTTTCTAATTATACCAATTCCATATCTGATCACTTATCTGACACTTCTTTGTCCATTATATTATTATCTTTAAATGACATCAGAAAATTTCTATACCCGTTGGCAATCGATTTATAACCATGTTCATTGGCAATCAATTATCAACACCTCCATCGTTCACCATCGATAGGGATTATAATTAATTTTCAGCGATTAAAATCGATTATAATTGCTAACAATCGATTGCATTCAAAAATCATCGAAGAACATCGTTAGCAATCGATTGCAACCACTAGCGATAGAAAACGATGGTGTATTGATGATTGATTGCCAATGGAAATTGTAAGTAATTGATTGTCAACGAGTTCCGTTCGCAATCGATTGCAATCATGATTGATGCCAATCGGTGGGGGTGTTAATAATCGATTGCCAATGTATAAGGTAGCTAATCAATTACTAGCGAGAATTGATTGCAATCGATTGCAATCACTATCGTTGCTAATCAGTGAGTTGTTGATGCTCGATTGCCAATGTGCATGGTTGACAATTAATTTTCAACGAGAATAGTTTGCAATTGTTTGTAATCATAATTAATATTAATTGGTTGGGGTGTTGATAATTGATTGCCAATTGAAGTGATTTGCAATCGATTGCCAACGCGTATAGTTAATATTCGAATGTAATCATGCTAAAGAATGATTGGTTAGAATATTAATGATCGATTGCCAATGGGTATTGTTGGAAAGCAGTTTCATTTTGGATAATACAATCATAATTAATATTAATCATTGGTTTGTTGATATATATTATATTTATTTGAATAAAACATTATATATTTACATAAAATAATATATTGCAAGCTAATTGAATTGATTTATATTATTTTATCATTCTTCTACTGAGCTCTTACGTTATTTCATTTTTATGATTGAAATTAATTGAAATATTACCTTTATATTTTGCTGAATATTTTTTCCTTGATTGATTTTTATACTGTTTATCTATCATTTGAAATTGTTATTATTTATTAGAATTGCATGACATTTATTTTATTTTAATTAGTTAATAACTGAGTTTTTGCCTCTCAAATTTAATCATTATTGTTGCAAGTATTTAGTTCAGTTTTAAAAACTCAATATCTTAATTACAATCGATTAGAATCATTTGAAAAT